GTAGTAGGGCGCGCCCGCAGACCGGCTCTTGGCGCCGGTCGCGTCGCCCGCCCCGCTCTCCGCTGTTGGCTCTACTGGGGATTTACGTGCCCTAGGAACAATTACAAATCACACATCAATATGAATGCAAAAGTTTGATATTTTTCTTCATATCTCTAAAACTTATCACCGTGAAATTTGATACGGATTTAGAACATAAATAGTTAGGAACACATATCCTACTTCATATTTCTTTTGTTTAAATCCGCACGTACAAATATGTAACGAAAACGAAGTATATGTGTGTAACATCGAAAAAATACCACATTTCGTAAGGATGATGTATGGTCGTTGAAAAGTCAATTTTAATAATTAAGGTTTACTCGCATGGCCGCGTTTGTTAGAAGTAATATTTCGAATGGCTGGGCCGATTTTGACGGGACTTTGAGAGGAAGTTGACTGATGCACCAGCAATTTTATAGACAACTTTATTTACGACAAGCTTTAGCCCGCGACTGGATTAAAAAAAAAGTAAGTAGTCTTCATGTGTTCTTTTAGTCTATGCTCAACATCTATACCAAGTTTCATGGAGATCCGTTTAGTAGTTTAGGCTACAAACTAACAATCATCCATCCACTTGTAACAATACTTTCTACGCTAACCAAGTTGCAGATGACTGCTAGTGTTTAAATATTACTTGTTAGTGTATTTCGTTCCTCGTATTACCTTCACGTTAGATAGTATTGTTAGTACAAAGTATAGTGTACCTTTCCTCGCGGCTGTGTCCCCTGTTGTAGTGGTCAGCGCGCTCCCTGTCGCGAGACCTGGAGCGTTCGCGTTCGCGCTCGCGGTACTCCCTGTAGTACCTGCTGCAACAAATACATATTGTTAAGAAAATAAATACTGCGCTGGAGGTTCGGCACAACACAAGATCATTGGCATATACGTCACATCCCTATGACATCTGTCAATGTCATTCAGACGTATTAGGGCGCGCCATACCAGCGGCAGTTAGTGGTTTGTGTGCAGATAATTATATTGTTACAATTATATTAAAGCCTAAAAATATTACTAGACTTCGTCCACGACTTTGTCCGCGTAGAATTTAAATAAAAGAAGTAGCCAATGTGTTCTGCCAGACTATCCTCTACATCCATGGCAAATTTCATCGAGGTCTATTCAGGAGTTTAGGCTACAAAGAAACATCCATCCATCTAAACTTTTACATTTATAAAATTAGTAAGATAAGATTTTATACTATAAAATACAACAAATGCCAATTCAAAGATGAAAATACAAAAAAAAACACGAATTTGGTTAAATCCATAGACAGTAGGAATAAAGTGTTCTATGATTTGGTCTGTGATTTTTCAGATTAAACACAAACATTTTTAGCAATTACATTGCACGCTCAATAATATGTTATTTAAATTTAATAGAAACCATAACCCAATGAAAAGTTAGTTACATTAGTTTGTCTAACAGAAATAGGAATATACTAATATAAACATGTATATAGACTCGACTTTGAATTATATGCGAAGAACAAATTTTTTACAACCCTATAAGTAATAGTTAACATTAAGAATTTACTGGTAATCCAGTAAGCCCTAAAGTTTTAAGATTAATAATGCATCAGTGAAAAGTTAGATGAATTATCGGGATTATTAAATTACACAGTCCAAGAGTAAAGTTAAAAACTGCCATGCAAAATGGTGTCGTATTGCCGTTGTTATTTAGAGATATTTTTGATATTTCCGCAATAAGTGCAGATTCGGCACGACACTTACGCGTCTCTGTCGCGATCTCTCGAACGTTCCCTATACCTGCAATTGAAGCGGTCGATTTATACCAAATCAAATGTAAATCGTACCTAATTTGACTGGCGAATACCGAAAGTTTTTTTGCTTGCGGGAATTAAGTTAAAAAGCATCATACATGACATTTTTAATGTTACGCGTTAAATTATCTGTACACAAGAATGATAAATAGCGAAAACGCCTAACTTTTAAAGCATGTAGCACACCGATACAATGTTTTGAATATAGTCAAACAAGAATCTATCCCGCCGAGATCACTATGTCTACCACATGGATATAGAAAATGGAAAAAAAATATGCGTAAGTGAGCTATTTTAGTTTGGTTTACTTTTAATTCGTTTTGGTCTATGCGTATTGTCATTATGGCAAGTGACGTGGTGCAGTGACTTGTTCCGACGTTTTAAAACGTGTGCACACCTTTGTCTAAACTATCGCACACTGTTTAGTCTCGCTTTAATTCCTATGAGCTTATATGGAGGTGTTGAATGGGCCGCGAAACAATCGACAATCGCACAACAATTGTGCGATAGTTTAGACAGAGGTGTGCACACGCGCTAACATTGTAGTGACGTCGAACATGTAAGGTACAGTGACGTGTTGCAGTGTCGCTGTGTAGTGATGTGCAGTGACGTGTTGCAGTGAGGGTACAGTGACGCTGTGTAGTGAATTGTATTGATGTGCAGTGACATGTTGCAGTGTAGTGATGTGCAGCACCAACCTGTCACGGTCCTCGCGGTCTCGACTGCGGTCTCGGTACCTGCTGGCGGAGCGGTCGCGGCGGCGCGGCGCGCGATGGTGCGTACGCGCGTCGCGCTCCCGAGACCGCGACCGCCGCCGCTCGCCGCCGTACGATTTCGTCTCGACTCCGTGCAGTGTATCCTGCAGTGACGATATCAGTATCTTGCACCGATCGTCGTGGGCTACCTGGAAATTTAAATACATACGACTTTTATTACCACACAAAATTACATATGAAGGACGTTAGATATGAGTATGGAGGTAAGAGGTGGTAGTACCGGTAGAGGTAGACGTAGTGACATGATTGAGAAGAGATTGATAACTGAGGTGACGGATGATAGTTATTTAGAGGACGAAAAATCGGTAGGATAAGGTAGGGGAGATAAAGACAAAACTATATATGATATCTAAAAGTATAACTACATCTAGACCTAATGATCTATTAAGGACATCATTGGTGAGAGCGTTATGCGCACTATTGGATCAACCATTCACTCATCTTAGTTCGACTGTCACTACCGTGCATTAAATCTCCCGCTCTTTCAGTTATTGTTAAGCCATTAATTAAATTGTAATTTATACGAATTAAACATGTTCAAGACGAGTACCGGAATTTTCATGTTCTCCAAACATTTTCTATACACATTTTATCACTAGACGAAGCTCACTGCCCATAAACTTCTACGATTATGAGATGCCTTACCTACTAACCGACGCCGCGGACGACCGAGTTGTGGACGACCATTAAGAGAACTTAATCCTTTATTATTTGACAAAATTTAAACACATTTTTATGCGACTACAGTTATAGATTTGATCAAATTTAAATAAAAAGGAGGCAACGTTTCTACTCCAATAAGTGTACGTGTAAATATATGCATAATGCGTACCTTGCTCTGTTTAATAAGAGAGATGGCGGTGACCAGTGTCTCAATGGCGGAGGCGTATTCTCCAGCCGCGGCATCGCTGAC